GGATCCTGCCATCGCCCTCACAATAGCCCCAAGTGACCCCTGCGGCCCCGGCCACCATCAGGGCTCACCGGGCTGGCTGGGCTCTGATTCTGCTTGGGCCCTGCATTCTCCACAGAGCCACCAGAATGCAAAATATGTGTACAATTTTAAATATTGGATGAGATTTCAAAGATATTTTATGTCTGCAGTGGGTTCCCTCTGATCTACCCCTCCACAGTCCCTGGAGTTTAGAAAATTCTCATTCTTCAGTTCATTGAAACAAGGCTGGAAGCACCTAGATTTATAAGCATGGGTTATTTCAAACTTTTAAAATTTAATTTTTACCCAAATAATACTTAGTGTGAAAAAGTCAAATAGCAATTTAAATACAGCTGTTCCTTCTGATATTTACGTTCATGTTTCTAAGCACCATGGTGTTCCTCCTATTTCTTTAGCTCTTACCATGGAAGGGGATTTAACTGTGGCACCTCCTCACCCTTCTCCTCCCCCAGCAGTTATGGGTTTGGAGTGTTAATATTTTCACAACTACTATTCACAGCTGAGCCACATGTGCCCAGGATTTGCTTTTTATTGTACTTTTTCCCCCTAGAGTGTTCGCTTAATTTGCCATTTCTTATTTTGTTTTCCATGCCCCAATACTGAATTAATTATCTGTAAATCCCTTGCAGAACTAAAAATCTCTTCTAAATCCATCCAAATATAACAGATCATCTGTTGGTTTTGTTTTCTCCTTGGAAGAAAACCAAGGAATGGTTTTCTCATAACCATTCAGGACTCTCCCCGTGTTACTGCCCAGTGCCCTTCACCACCACCGTTACTCTTTTCGTCTTTTTCGTTGGGAATCTCAAATTGTCTGGGTCCCAGGTCCTACTTTCATTGCTTTGCTCCCGCACTTTGATGTACAGTGTTTAGTACCTTTCTGAAAAATGGTGCATCGCAGATAAATACAGATGACCTTATGTCTGAAAATATTTACCTTACTCTTACACTTAATAGTTTGGCTGGGTATAAAATTCTAGGTTATAAATAAATTTTTCAAAATCAGAGTTTTGAGGGCATTGATTTACTCACTTCATACCTAGTGATGCTGTTTGGGATGCTCATCGCTTTTGAAATGTCTAATCCTTTGTACTACTTTTCTTCTCTCTGTCTCTGGATTGTCTGTCCAGTGTTCTGAAATTTCATGGTGATGGGGCTCGGCATGGGTTAAAATTAATTGTTTTGGATACTCAGATCTTCCCATTTCAGTCCAGGGAATATTTTTTCCTACAGTCTCTTGCTGATAATGTTCTACCCTGTTTTCTCTTCCTAGGACTCCTGTTAGATACTGAATATTCTAACTGATCCTTTTCATTTTCTTACATGTTTTCTTCCATTTTCTTTTTCCCACTTTTTTTGTGAGATTTTCTCAATTTCAACTTGCAACTCTTCTGTTGAATTTATTCCCTTCATATTTTAAAAAAGATTCTATTTATTTTACTTTTAGAGAGAGGGGAAGGGAGGGGAAAAAAGAGGGAAAGAGCGATGTGCAAGAGATACATCAATGGGTTGCCTCTCACTCGCCTCCACCTAGGGACCTGGCCCACAACCCAGGCATGTGGCCTGACTGGAGACTGAATCAGCAACTTTTTTGTGCCTTTTGGTCCACAGGCCAGTGCTCAAGTCCACTGAGCCACACTAGCCAGGGAACCCTTCATATTTTTAATCTTTCAAGAGTTCTTCCTTATCACTGGATATTTGTTATAGCTCTTGCACATTTAACCATGGCATATAAGGTGCTATGAGAGTGGTTCTCAACTCTGCGTGCATGACATAAAAACCTGGGTAGCTTTTACAAACTAATGATGTCCAAGGATTACTCTCAGGGAATATGATTTAATTGATCTAGGGTGGGTCCCAGGCATAGTTATTGTTTTGTTTTGTTTGTTTTTTAATTGGCTGTCCCATCTCCACTAGACACAGGCGATTGTCATCATCTCCTTTATGTTTAGACTGAGGCCTGGTACAAAGCAGGCGTTCACTAAATACTTGTTGAAGGAATAAATAAAACACTGCTTTGTAAAGGAAGATTGTAAAATAAGAACAACTGACAGGCGATCTACTTTTGTTCAAGTTTTCCCTAAACATATCTGAAAACCAGTAAAACAGTAGTCTTGCATGTCAAAAAGATTTAAAACTCAGAAAGTTAAAAATTTGTTTTGAAATTCCTTATTTCATCTCACCGTTTAGGCAGTTTTTAACAGCGTATTTCTTGTGAACTAGGAAGTTCAAGTGTAATTATTTTCATTTCAGTTTCTGCTGTGACCCCCAAGACAATAGTTGCTGTGCATCAAGGAAAGCAGCAGGGCGAACGCAGGGCTAACAGGGTGGCCCAACTACCTTACAGGAGCTGCCTGACCCTTAGCCTGTGGAAGAGCTGGAACTTAGAGAACAATTTTTAGAAGCAGGTGAAGTACCTGTAACCCCCGCCACCCGTGGAGGCCGGTGCTTCACCTTGAGTCAGAGAGGGAGAACCCAAAAACTAGGGGACAAAAAAAAAGTTCTAAGGAGCCAGCCAAAGAGCGTGTATCATCCAAAGTGAGGGAATGGCAGGCAGGAGGCCAAGAGAAGTGGATGGAGTGTGGGGCAAGGAGCAGATCTTCACAAACTCATGGGCGATGTACCAGAAGCACATTTCGGCTTGAAACACAGCAGGCACGGAGAGCCAGAAGCCAGTTCACAACAATATTGTTCAAGTACTAACTTTCCTCTCCCCATCGCTCTCTTGTCTTAGCTACAGCAGACAAGAGATGATAGTACAAGGTGGAGAAACAAGGCCAAGCACTTGCTGCTTCCTCCCCTCACACCCCGGCCCCGCCCCACCCCCTGTAGGGGGCAAGGCTGGCAGCGGGCCCAAGCTGGGGAGGGGGTGGCCTCTGTCTCCAAAGGCAGTTGAAAGGTTTTATTGTTACACAGGACTGGACACATCATCTACCCAAGGGAGGGCCTTCAGTACCTGAAAGTGATGAGGGAGGCCTTCCCCACATTCCATCCAGGGACGGGGCAAGAACGAGTCCAGGGAATAAATGTAGACAGTGTAGACCAAGATAAAATTAGTCTTTGATCCAACTGAGTTTAACATAACAATAGGGCTAGTGCTTTGAATGTTATTTTCCTTCTTAATTGAGTATGATAGATCAGCTGAAGTTCACTGACATTGAATTGTGTGAGAATTTGATGTTTGGTAACTTATTTTCTATTTGCTGCAAATAATCAAACTTACCATCAGTTGTCTCTCACACATACCCCTAGAGGGGACGAACCCGAAACCCAGGCATGCGCCCTGACCAGGATCGAACTGGTGACCTTTTTGCTTTGCAGGCCTATGCACAACCAGCTATGCCACACAGGTCAGGGCATCCTGGAGTGTTTAAAAACTTGTGTTTTTTTTGTTTTTGTTTTTGTTTTTTTTTTGAGAAAAGGTGATACCAACTCACAGAGGAACATCAGAATCCCAAGGAACACTGGTGAGTGCTGATGTAGCGGGAACGATGAATGAGCAGGTGGCAGCTGCTGCATTTTCCCTGACAGGCACCGACTGCTCTGAACGGCCGGCCTCTGTACTGGGGCCCCAGCCGAGGGCTGTACCTTGGAGGGTGAGAAGTTCATAGCTGATGGGAATCCGAGCAGGTGTGGGTATGGGCCGGGTGATGTAATCTTGAAGAGGGAGGTTAGGTTGGCAGGTGTACACATTTGTCACTTAAGTGGTATACCAATGTGTACATTTCACTGTATGTAAATCTCGCCCACCTACCAAAAAGGGCAAACCAATTAATAATATGGACAGTGAATGTTTAGGTGTACTGTGTGAAACTGTCCTTTGAAATACACCAAAAAAATGGGATGGAATTATGTGGTATGTGAATTGTAGAGTAAAATGGGGAATATATATTTCAACTCTGAAATTTTTCATAATGCCTTGAGCAGGGACACCTTGTTACAGGAAAACAGACCTCTGAAATGCAGAAGCCGTGCCTGTCGCTCCGTGCCTAGGACAGACGCCAGTGTGCGTTAGTGGGTACTGCAGGCCCATATACTTGCTGCCCTTCAGTACAGAAGCACTGGGACGTCCACACGTGCTATGCCACTCTTAGGCTGCGTGACAAACTGGAATGCATCCACACTGGCTTCCCACATGGGAAATCCCATTCCCAACACGGCATCTTCATGTTCAGGAGTTGTTTTCCCCTAAAGCTAGACTGAGCCTAAACTTTCCTCAGGACCTCTGGGGAGTTTTAGGATGGGGACTTTAAGGCAAGTAAGAGGGAGGGACTAAGGGAAGGAGGAGGGCCGGGTCCCCAGACCCAAGTTCAGCAGCCAGACCTCTTCCCAGAGGGACAGAGGCCCTTCCCTCCTCCAGACTTAACTTCCTCACCCAGCAGGGCTAATCTGTTAATCTGATCTTCTTCCCTCATTATTATTCTTGGAGAAACTCAAGGCAGGACTACGGGGGAACCTCAGACTTGGATCCCAAACACCCACAGCCTCTGAGAACAAACAAGATACTGGTCACCGTGCCTCACTTTTAAAACTGAATCTGAGATACCGATGGATTGAGGGTCATTTTGCTCCAGCCCCGCAATCACCCTCTTCAGGGTGTGCTTCCTGAGCTCACAGGGACAAGGCACGACTGCAGTGGCTTCCTGGGGAATGTTCTGCTTAAGATTTGGGAAAATTATTTGAAATGTATTAAGACCAACACGGATTATGCAATGGAACACTCCTATGACCTTTCACAATAGATTTGGAAGAAATGAGCCAAGCCCTTACAAACTATTGGGTTGGCCAAAAAGTTCATTTAGGTTTTTTCTGTACGATGGCTCTAGTAGTGCTGTCTTTAACTTCATTCAAAATGACTTTGTTAGATTGTATTGTGACAGCTGTCATATCAGTGTGCATTTAAAAAAAGGACATCAAAACTGATGAGTTTTTATGCAGCCATTTTAACATTGAAGATGAGAGAGAATATGCAACATTTTTGGTGTATTGTTTTATTACTTCAAGAAAGGTAAAAACACAACTGAAACGCAAAACAAGATTTGTGCAGTGTATGGAGAAGGTGCTGTGACTGACTGAATGTGTCAAAAGTGGCGTGCGACTCTTGGTACTGTTGATATTTCGGCCAGATAATTCTTTGCTGGGGGGCTGTCCTATGCATTGGAAGACGTTTAGCAGCACCGCTGGCCTCTGCCCACTGGACGCCAATAGCGGGAGACAGCCGACATACTCAAATCCCAAATCAGTCCAGTTATTGGTGAAAATGAAAATGTGTCTTTTATTTTATGGAAAAAACCATACATTTTTTGGCCAACCCAATACACCCCTAGACTCCTAAGGGTACATGTTTTCTTCTCTGATGCTGTTTCAGGAAACTTCATTGGAAAATTTAGAAAAGTATTTTGCTAGACAGAACTCACACTGTAGACGAGGTTCCTTATGGGGCGAGGACAGTGAAGAGGGATTTCAAGGTATCTTTTCCCTCTGTAACAAGAAACAAAAGACAGAAAGAAAAACCTAATAAAAAAAATAAATGCACGATTTCTGGAGGAAAATCCCAGAGTGCTACCAAGTGATGGGTGACCTCTAGCCTCCCAGAGTAGCAGGCGCCTCCTGGGACCCCCACGCACGATTCTAAGGGAAGGTGGATGTTCACCCAGGATGAGCTCCCTCAGGTGAATGAGACCATCCAGGATTTCCTGGGAAGGCAATATAGAAAGAGCACAAGCTTTGAAGTCGAAGACCTGTGCTCCCAGGTGTTAGATGACCTCACGCAAGTCATTCTCTAGACCCCAATTTCGTCATTTTTAAGATGGCTTTGACACCTTGTCTGTAGGGTACCATGAGGATGGTATGAGCCACGGTACATAACACAGCAGGTACATTCTGGGTACTCAACAGCGTTACTTCTTTCCTTTCCCCGGGCAGTGTAATAGAAAATATCTTTCACAACATTGGCAGGAGGGGTGATAAAACGGATGGCTGGGGATAAGAGACCGAGAAACAGGGATACCAACTAAGAACCAGGCTCAGCGCAAGCATGGCCACAGGCGCATTGAGGAGCAGGCCTCTCGCCACTAACACGACCTGCGGTGGGGGCTGGAGGCGGCGCCGGCCCAGCCTTCAGACCACATGGTGATTCGGGCGAGAGGCCTTTCCAACCTTGACTTTATAAAGATGCACAGCAGGGCACGTTTCAGTTATTTTTAGTTAAAGAAAAACCACCTTTTCCAAGGGCAAGAAAGTGAACCGAAGGTCAGAAGGAAGCAGGGTGTGGGCCTCTCACAAGCTCTTGCTCCAAAACCAGGACTGGAGGAAAGAGGGCCCTCGTGGAAGCGCAGGGGCGGCGGGCCAGCAGGGGGTGGCTGGCGGGGCGGGGCGGGGCTGCAGCCCACCTCGGGCACTCGACTGGTCTGCACGGGCTCTACGGTGATTTCTACCTGCCAGTCAGTTGACATGATTAACACTATTATTCTTGGGGTGGGGGGAGCGGCGTTAAGTTAAGGAATGATGTGTGGAGACAAGAGCGTGGCTTATTCAGTTGGATTCTGAATCACAATCAGGAAATAGTCTTTATCTGCAAAAGAGAAAAATGGGGAAAAAAATCATTAAATGTAAAACAGGAGAAAAACACACTAGGAAAAAATAAATCATTGAACCACCAACCATAAAACAGGAGGGGTGAATACAAAGTATCAGCGCCCGGCTCCTTCCAGTGGCTGAGAAAAGAGAAGGTCAACCTGCAGGTCTCCCATGGTGGCCTTTTCAAGAGCCACAGGGCAGCAAAACCTCTTTTCTAATCTTCCCAGCACTGAGATGGAGATAGAAAACGTCATCCCTGTTTTCTGGGTAGGGAAACTCAGGTTCAGAGAATTTAAATAAACTGCCTGTGGCAGTGGCCCTGGAAACGGAATAACCTGGAGGGCTGGGCCCGCTCCCAGCTCTTCGGAGTCTGCAGGTTTGGGGCAGAGCCCGAGAATCTGTATTTTTAACAGGTTCCTAGGTGATGCTCATGCTGCAGGTTCTGGGAGAACCAATAGTTTAAGGTCACTCAGCTAGTTAGTGTCAAAGATGAAATTCCAATCTCAACCCCCCTGCTCCTGGGTTAACGTCAGTTCTGTCACAGAGCTTGATGAGGACATTTCAAAGGCACCAGATCAAAGCAAGCCAGAGGTACCTGGACTCCAGCTCTGGGGATCCAGGCCAGCGAGGAGGAATGCCCATCACGAAATATCGCAGGTCCAAGACCTCAGGGCCGAGCCTGACCACCCCTCCTTTTGTAGAGGAGGAAACTGGAGAAGCAGAGTGTTTCAACTTTGCCCCACTTCAGCACCAAATCGCAGGCATCAAGGCTTCCATGGGGCGCGCCCCAGGCCAACCATTTCTCACACGGCACCTCAACGAATCCTCGAATTACTGTGTGAGGCAGGTACCTGTGTTTTCTCATTCTACAAATGAGGACACTGAGGCCAGAGTTAAATGACTTGCTCAAGCCAAGGCAAAAATGCAGCGGACAGCCTGCTGAATAAGGGAGAAACGGTCGGACCTCGGCCACACCTGCTTTGTGTATGCTGATTTAAACCTAAGGCTTGCCTTCCCCATGATGGCTGCAATGGGACTGGGAAGCAGCAGCTCCTATATGACTAAGAGTTTCATGGCTAAGCAATCTGTGTAAGTAAGTAAAAACAACAACAACAACAACAACAACAAAAAAAAACCACTTCCTAATAAAAATAAAAATTAAAACCATCGACAAAAGCAGACATAATTAGCAATACTAGTGTCTTTTCTTCCAAATAACCAAGTTTTAAATTCAATATCACTCCAGGTGCTCTGCGGGGACAGTTTTAAAGCTTGATTATGACAGCAACTTAGCTTTATATAGTGAGAGCAATAAGAGAAAACAAAAAAAAGTCTGTCTTAAAACATCTTTTCATAAGGGCCACCCAGGGCCAGGGCGGGGTGAAATGTCACCCATACTCCGATATGGAGAACCAAACTGTCTGAAGCCGCCTGCTTCTATTTTCGGTCTTTTCAGTTTGATCAATGAGGAAGATTGGGTGGGAAGAGAGGGACATGGACCTCCTTCCAGGGAAGGGCCGCCCCAGGCTGCTCCCCCAACCTGGGGGGGCAAATCATAGCCCCAGGAGGGCCCCCCGGACACAGGAGAGGCAGCAAGGCCTGTTCTGCAGGCTGGGGGGAGGCCTGCCCCCGGGGGGATGGGTCCCCTATGGAAACTGTGAGGCAATCCAGCCCTGAGGCCTTGGGGGCCCTGCTCCGTGGATCCTGACACAGTGTTACTTTTCTTCCCATTACCAGAGTGGGTGTATCAAGATGTCAAATCACTGGGTTTCGTCTTAAACACGTCCCACGGGGCTCCCTGATCCCCATCTCCACTGCTGACCCCACCTCCAACTCCTGCAGTGGGGAGTCAGCAACAGAGGGAGGGTTAGGAAGTCTTTCGTTTATTTACTCAACAAATATTTGTTAAATGCTTTCTATGTGTTTACAAATTTTTGTCTTCTTGGAACTGTCGAGTGGGGGAGACAAGACTTAAAAACGCAGATAAACAGGCCGGTGAGCCAAGTCTGCCACCAGCAGGGCGGCCTGCGTGAGGGCCCAGGGAGAGCCCCCTGCAGGCGGCAGGGTGGCTGGAGAAGGGGTGAGGGCGTTCGAGCGATCACTCGTCGTATTTAAGGCAGCCTGGCAGTCACACCCCGCGAGCTAAGTAAGACGGGGGTGTGGGCCCCATGAGGATGTGAGTGTGAGACAGAGCGTGAGCGAGCACACACACCCTCCCTGCGGGCTGCTGTCACCAGAGCCAGGGTCTGGTCACTTCATCCTCGCCTCCACTGACAAGGCTCTGCACCCAAAGGAGAACCTTTAACTGGACTCAAGCACCAACCACACCCAAGAGCTCTGAGCCTGTGGGTCCTCAAGGGCAAGTTGGAGATGCCTTTGCTGCTGAGCTGGACGCACACGGCCAGGAGCTCACAGACAACTTCACAGACAACCTGCAGTTGTGGGTCACATGCTTGGGAGCTTTCGGGGGTGTCCGACCTGTGGCCCATAGGCTGCATGCAGCCCAGGATGGCTGTGAATACAGCCCAACACAAAACTGTCAATTTACTTAAAGCACTGAGATTTTTTTTATGTGTCACAATGTATTTAACGTGTGGCCCAGAGATGCCAAAAGGTTGGACACCCCCGCTAGGTCAAGAGACACTGGCTGTGGAGAGTCTGTCTGATGTGTAGACTTGCATCATCTGTCCTTGCCCCTCACTGACGGTGCCCACGTGGACTGCGCTGAGGTGCAGCCAATAGAGAGACTGTTCCCAGACTAACTTTCAGGGAAGTGGAGGGGTCTGTAGTCACAGCATAAAGTCTTGGGAGGGATTTGAGGTCAAATCTGCTTCCGAGCGTTTCTGCTCCACCCCATGGCAATGCACTCAACCAGACGGGGTGTCTCAGAGAACCAGAGCGGGGCAGCCTCTCTGTGACACTTTACAGATGGGAAAATAGAGGCTCAGAGGTGTGTCATTACTTGCTTAAGGTCACATTCATTAAAAGCTACAGCTGGGAGAACGAACTCTGCCTGCTACAATCTGTTTTCCCTGACAGAATCGGAGACACCATCGGACAGTGATTAAATTGATAAGCAGTGTACAGCATGCTTTTGGAATAAATGACTCTGAAGTAACCCCATGTTCTTTTCTGGGACTGACCTACTCTGTCCCCACCCCTCTAAGGAGTCTCCCAGGGAGACTGTGGGCCTGTGACCAGCTCTACAGTTCCCTCCTTCACATCCTTCCAGGCTGCCAGACTGGGCTGGAACGGGCCTGGGAAGAGAACTGATACTGCTCTGCGGCTGGGGGTATGGGTGCCTTTCTTCCCCACCAAATCACCCTAGAATTCTGCAGCCAGCGCCCCTGCCATCTGTGTTGCCGAGCCCAGGGGCGTTCAGGGTCCCTAGCCTACTCGCTCCTCCTTCCGGGAGAACCTCTGCTCACTGGGTCAAGTCCGCACAGCCGAGTTTGGTGTTTGAGGCCTTTTCTTAACTGGACCAAAGGCCTCGCCCCCCGACTCCTTCGGGCACACATCCGGATGCCCTGGAGGAGCCGCATGCAGCCCACCTGCCTCGTCATGCGCCCTCAACTACCTGGCTCAGCCCAAAGGGAGAGAGGGAGGGCGAGAAGCGGCCACGCGAGAGCCGCCCTGGAGAAGCTGCCCACCGCCCCAGCCTGTGAACGCCGAGTGCGGTGAGGCGGGGCAGGGGGTCCTGCTGTTGCCTCCTGCGGTCCCAGTCCTTGTGGGCTCCTCCCAGGTCGAGCCTCTCAGCACCCTGAGAATGACCCTAAGCCCTAAAGACGGGGTGTGGTATCACACAGGCCCGAAGTGCAAGTCGAGCACTTCACGTGGAACAAAAGCAGCAGTCAGTTCCAGTGCTGGAGAAGGCGGCTCTGGGACCCAGAGAGACAGCGCTGTACTTTAGAAGCGGGTAACTGAACATTTTTTCAGACAAAATAACTACATGGTGTTTTTGCCTCCTGCTTTGGTTTACATTCACTGAATCTCTTTCCTTCAAACTTAGCTTTCTTGCCCCTCCACCGTGCTTACACTCTCTCCTGTGCCCTCAAGATGATGTGCCTCAGCTGAAACGCCCCCTCTTCTGGGAAGCCTCTGCCGACCGCCCCAAGCAGGGCTAACCGCACCCTCCTCTATGTTCCCAAGTGCTCCTTGAATGTCCCCACATCAAGGCGAGGGTTACACTAGGTCATGCTTTCGTGTCTGTCTCCCCCGCCATGAGATGAAGATTCCCCTCTATGGGCTAGAACCCAGGAAAGGGTCTGACTCACAGTCACTGTTCGTGAGTCTTTATTGGGGTGCCAGCCAGACTGGGCAGGCAGTGAGGCAATCAGCTCTGTGCCTTCCACGCTTCTGGCCTTCCTATGGAACCCGAGGAGACACCAATGCGCTACGCCTTTCCGACATGCTACAGAGCGTGCGCTGTGACAGTCTAACCCTAGGAGGGTGTGGAAGACCTCTTACCTGGTGCAACCATAATTTCATTTTTCTTAGAGCGAATTCGAAGGAAGGTGAGGTCATTCTGGGGGTCAATCTCACGCACGGTGCTCCGGGCCTTCAGGACGAAGTTGTGCATGAGGCTGGCGTACTGTGTGGTGGTGGGATTGTCCATGGTGCTCTTAATGGGGATCCCTGAAGGGAGAGCAGGAGGGCTGAGCAGGACACTGAGGCCCTTTCTGTCCAGCTCCCAGCCCCACCCCCCTGACCCTGCAGTACCGGCCTGGCAGTTAACAATCAATGCCGCTGCTCCCTGAGAGCTTGGCAGGCACAGTGCTGAGCACTTCAAGTATGTCACTGCCAGGCCCCAGGACTACTCCGAGGGTGGCGTCACCATCTTCACTTGCCAATGAGGCAACAGAAACTCCAGGCAATAAGGTGGCCTGCTCAGGGTCACAGAGCAGATGAGCAGCGGAGCCTGGATGCAGCGCAGGCCCGCTGGCCCCGCAGCTGGGCTCCCTTCACAAGGCTGAGCCATCTTGACTAATGTCTGGCAATGAAAGGAGAGACTATCACTCAGAACACTTAAGAATCTGGACAAGGAGGACAACTTTTACAAATGTGTAAACACTGAAGAGCAGGAAGAAGAAAAAAGCTCAGCTTGTGCCAAGACATAACCATCACTGGTGTGTTGCTCCTGTTCCCACCAAGGGCGCCTCAGGGCCCAGCAGTGAACACACCGTTTAATTAAAGCCCATTTCTCCGTCCGCACACACCCTTGCGAACGGCATTGCTGCTGTTTCCAAAAAGCCCAGAGCGGCCATTCCGCTGAGTTCATCGTGCCTCCACTGTTGGATTAACAACACTTATTCTTTAATTTGTATTTATTTATTTTTAAAATCCTCACCCGAGGGCATGTCCATTGATTTTGAGAGAGGACGGAAGTCAGAGGGGGAGGGAGGAAGGGAAGGAGAGAAACATCGATTTGTTGTGGCCTCCCGTACGCTCCCCGACTGGGAATTCACCGCAACCCTTCGGTGTACGGGACAGCACTCCGACCAGATGAGCCACGCCAGCCAGGGCTAAGGCTGCCTTGTTTACTTAATTACTGTGTGATAAACACCACTGTGCATCAAGCCTTTTCTGTTTCGAAGACTGTTTTTTGCGATGGACATCTCCTTCACTGGACGGTGCCTACTGCCATGAAGGTGAAGGAGGGGTTCAGCCTGAGCAACCTCAGGCCACAAGTGGCGCGTCAGGTGCCTGTGCATCACGGTCACATGCCAACAGAAGGCTCCATGAATGGGGCCCCAGGTGCCCACAGCTGACAGGTACTGTGATGAATGAGGCGCAAGTGGTTCCTCACACGTAAGTGGCTGGATTCAGGACCCAGGCCCTGTTGATCTGGTCTCCAACTGACCAGCCTAAGGACCAGCCAACAGCAGTCACCCTCAGGCCTACCCTTGAGTGGCAAGAAACTAGCCCAATCTTGTCTTTTGAGGGCACAGGAACAAGAGAGTAGGCAGAAGAGGACACAGTGGCAAGAGAAGCAGCTGAGTCAGAGGCTCTTTTGACCCAATTGAAGCCATGAGAACAGGCTGTAATGATCACTTGCCTTTAAGAAACAAGACAACTAGGTCATCAGGGGGTGCTGTTGGGTCCTAGCTGGCAACAATGTGCCCAGCAGGGCCTTGCTCAACAGTGGAACCTTTCTGAGGATGGCAGTATGAGCAGCTGGGGTGGTGACTGAGTAGGAACTCTGAAAGCTGATGACTTGAACTTATACTCCTGCTCTGCCCCTTCATGGCTATGTGGCCTTAGACAAATGATTAAACTTCTCTAAGCCTAAATTTCCTCATCTGTAAAGTGCCTGTGCTTCAAAGTGCTGCTGTGAGGATTAAGTATGATTTAAGAATGTTCTGCAAGGCCCTTGCTGGTGTGGCTCAGTTGGCTGGAGCGTTGTCCCACAGACTGAAAAGGCTGAGGGTTCGCTCTCCAGTCAGGGCACATACTTAGGTTTGGGGTTTGATCACTGTTGGGGCATGTATGCGAGGCAACCAATCAATGTTTCTCTCTCTCTCCCTCTCTCTCTAAAATCAATAAACATATTTTACAAAAAAAGAATACTTAGCAAGAGTACGCACGCAGGAGGTGGTGGTGGTTATCATCATCACCCACACAGTAAATCCCATGGCCCAGGTAACGTGAGAGGCAGCCTCAAGGCCTGGCAAAGTTCAGGTGATCAAACCTCTTGACCTTCTCTTTTATACACAAGCACCTACTCTCAGGTTCCTCTGCCTGGAACTTCCCTTTCTTCTCCTGCTCTCCCACTGGTCCCTCGGGTCTCCATTTTGGCGGCTCCCCCCAACACTAGATGCGGTCAACGCCCCCTTGTGCCATCACAGCACCGTGCAATTTTCCTTTGCAGTTACTTGAGTTTGACGTCACACCTTTATGGAAGTGATCATTATGTTTGTTCCCCAGCCAGGGCCAGGTCCGATTTGTTCACCAGTGTCCTTAGAGAGACTGCGTTAAGCATTTATTGCTGCTGATAAATGAGAAGTCACAAGGGCTACTTTCAGTCGTTTAGGCATGAGTTTGATTACATTCCTATCGAGTGAAAGGGTGCGTAAAGGAGACAAGAATCTAACCACTTGTTGGCTCACTTTAAAAACAAAAGAAGGCCTTGGCTGGGTAGCTCCATTGGTTCAGCGTTGTCCCCATACACGAAGGTACATACAAGAATCAATCAATGACTGCCAAATACGTGGAACAACAAATCGATGTTTTTCTCTCTTCCTTCCCTCCTCTCTCTGAAATCAACAAATAAAAATTTAACAAAAAACAAAAAAAGAAAAACATGAGGGTGGCGGTAGGGCAGGGACCATTAATAACTGGGGAGAATTTCAAATAAGAGATCCCTGGGTGCCCAAGCTGGGACACTTCGGAGATGTCCCAATGACCAGGCCGTCTACCCACAAGCCACTGCCTTCACAAACGGGGACTGTGAAGCCTGCAGAATTGGCTGGTCAGCGGGGAGGCACAATTTCCAACCTGGGACTTGGATCTCTCAGGCTGTACAGCCAGGTCCTTCTACCAAACCCACCTCCATCAATCAATAATAAAAAAATTAACAAAATTTAACAGGTATTTATTAAACACAAACTGGATCAGCACCGTTCCAGGTGCTGGGGACCTGCCCCTGTGGAACTTACACATTTGAGTTTTTTATTTTGCCCCGTGTGGGTAGCAGCAGAGGATAGCAGAGGGGCTGGGGAAGTACAAATGGACCAGAATGTTCCTTAAATTCTTGCTAAGTTGGCTTAAACTCACACTTTTATTATGAAATGTCATTTGCGTTTGGCTAAAACAGAGATGTCAAAATGCAGTGGCGGGTTGTTGGTTAAGTTTTAGGACAAGGTGTGTCGTGAATTGAGGGGCAAGAGCAATCACACCGGGCTGGGGTGGCCAGGGAAGGCAGACCACATGACGAGGCAGCTGAGTTGAATCATCCTTCACTGGAAGTTTCCAGACGGTTTAAAGGCCCCCTGAGCATTGCATTCTGGCCAACCCCAGCCATAGCTGGGTGACCTCTGGAAGGTCACCTTGCCTCTCTTAGCCTCAGGGTTCTGATGGGCAAACAGCCCTAGCAGGTGTGGCTCAGTTGGTTGGCGCATCATCCCATAGACCAAAAGGCTGCGGGTTTAAGCCCTGGTCAGGGTACATACAGGAGGCAACCAATTGATGTTTCCTTCTCACACTGATGTCTCTCTCTCGCTCTCCCTTCCTGTCTCTCTAAAAGCAATAAACACATTTAAAAAATTCTTTTTAAAATGGGCAAACACTCTGTCTTGCAGCATCACTGTGTGAAATGTAAATGAGATTGAAGAGTAAATTCTATGAAGGGGCACAAAAATAAACACACACAATAATTCTAACATTTAAATGGCATTTACTATATATATCAAGACACTATTCTAAGAGGTTCCCTTAGAGGAGCACAGTATGATTATATTTTACTGATGAGACACTGAAACAGAGGTTAAGTGACTTGTCCAAGATTTCAGGTGCATTTTCCTTGCCTCTCTTTCTCCTAAGTTCCAAGGGCCCTCCTTTTGCCTCTATAACTTGTTTCCTGAGGGAAAACAAAAAAACAAATACCCAGGCCATCTCCTTCCACAGCCCATACTCTCAGCCACTGTGCAACACTGCCGTATTTGTATACAAAAAAATGCTCATTGGTATCCAAAAGGTAAGCAACTGGGGCTATATTTTTCCAATAAAAATGCTAAACTGTTGGGCAGTTTTAATGCAAGAATGAAGGCTTATGGTTTGCAAATACTAGTGAAGGTCTAGGGGTACCAGCTGGGGAGTCAGCTCCTGAGGCTGTTTGTTCCCATCTGGGGTCAAAAAGGACCAGTCCCAGAAGACAGTCTCTCTGAGTCATACACACAGTCTTTTGGGTCTTGGACCAACCACCACACTTGGGGCAGCTGAAGTCTGAGGAGGAGAAGGGGAAGGCCCGGGGCCGCCGGCTGCCCCGTGGCAGACCTAACTTGGGGCCTGCTGCTGTCTCTCAGTGTCCCGAATGCTCCCAACCTGTTGCCTCCTTTAAATGAAATGGCTACATGGTCTAATTAGAGTTCGGCAAAGCCAGGGAGCATCTTCTGCCTAACTCTAGGCTGGCCAGGGCCTAATGACTTGGAAACCAACATTCTAACTGAGGACATGCCACCTCCACATTGTCACCTTTGGTGACGTTCATTCGGCTTTACTAAAGTACGCACTGTTGAGAATTCGGCTTTTCCAAAACAAGGCCCAGAATGACAATGCATATCCAGGGGCTCCCGAGGAGCCTCGAATACATCGGAAATGAATGAAGACACTGAACTAGAGAACTGGGGCAACCCGGCTGGGTGACTCTGGGCCAGGCCCGCAGCCCCTCCCCGGTCCCCCACAGCAGTGTGAGAGAAAGGGCACAAGTGCCTCAGGCGCACTTGCAAAGAAATCTTGCTTTGTAATGGCAGGCTAGTCAGCGGAACTTCTAGACTCATTTTCTCCACTGCAAAATGGAGAAAGGGCTGCTTTAAAGAATAAATGAAACAGGATGTTTGTAAGGCACCAGTCTGTGGCCTGGCAGAGAACAGGTAGGTGAGAGATATTAGTCTCCCTCCTCACCATGTCTATAGCAGTTTGGGAAAATCACTATCTGTACTCTTCTAGGTATTGAAGAGAGAAACTACAGGTACAAAAAAGTAGAAACAACAGAAACGAGGGATAGTTAATAAACATTGTACTGGCAATGTAAAAAATCTTATGTAAGCCATGAAGCGAAACAAACAAACCTCATGAATAAACATGCAAAAGAGTAACAACTAACAGCCTTGGCTGCTGTGGCTCAGTGGACTGAGGGCTGATCTGTGAACCTAAAAGTCGCTGGTTCGATTCCCAGTCAGGGCACATGCCTGAGTTGCAGGCCACGGCCCCAGATGAGGGTATGCAAGAGGCAACCGGTTGATGTATCTCTCTCACACTGTTGTCTCTCTCCCTCTCACTAAAAATAAACAAAATTTTTAAAAAATATATAAAAAAATTAAAACTCAAACTCCCTTAAAAAAGAAAAAAGAGAGAGAAATAACTATAACTATGGCACAGAGAAAAATGCACCTGAACAAGGGCTGACAAAACATGGCATACTTAAAAGTATGATCTGTCAGGGCAGTGGGATTGAGTGACTTTTTCCCTTTTTTTGAAATCAGAATTCTAATAACAGTGCTAGTACAATGCAGGTGTTTAAAAAAGAGTGAAAATTCATGTGCATGAAGGGGCTTAGTAAACAGCAAGTGTTATGCTGTGTTTGGGCTGTTTCCTGGGGCCTGCCTGAGTACAAGCCATGGTCAGAGGGAGGGTGTACCTTCCGTGTTCACCACGATGATTCCCTGCACTCCTTTCTGGCTCTGAAGTCGCTTCAGTGTCTCCTCCACCTCAGCCTGCCAGAGAGAACAAGACCAAGGTTAGGAAGGGCCAGGAAGGCTGGATTAACCCCCTCATACCCTTGGCAGATGAATCACACATTTGTTTTCCAACAACAAACAAGTTAACACCTGGCCACGTGGCACCCCCTCAAAGCTCCCCAGCCTGTTCAGAGTGGTTCCCAAGCCTCCGGCCGCACCTCAATCATCTATTCACGCCCCCGCATGGGGCTGGGCTCCCCTTGGCCCTTTGCCTGCCAGGCATCATTACCCCTCCTGCCTCAGCCACTTGGGAGCAGAGTAATAATACCATTCCTGGGAGCAGAGACACAGCCATGACTCATGTTATCTGGTACCCCTAAAGGGCAGGACGATGATGATGGTATGAAAAAACCCAAACAGTGGTGTCTAACAGGAAGGAGACACACTGTCATTTGCGGCCCAAACAACACAGCTGAAAACATTCCAAAGGAAGCAAAATGACCCCATGAGGACAGACTCAGTGACTTAATAAGCTAGCTTCTGAGGTAGTATGACAGAAGGCTCAGCCACAGGAAATGTGCCTGGGGCAGGGGGTCATCAATCCTGATTCTCCAGAAACCTGTCAGGGCGGGACGCTCTGGCACGTGGAGCTTGTAAACCGAGGGGACAATCAGGGGCTTGGATCCCTGCCCTGCAAGGCCTTCTCTATTATCACTCGCATCTCCTACCCAACCCCCCACTCTCCATCTACATGCCTAGGCCTCTCTGTTTCCACATCTTTTTATCTTAACAAGGCCTCTTCTCTGCTGAAATCCAACAAATTCTTCTAGACCATTTAAGACATCACCTCCTTCAAAAAACCTTTACTGATCCCCAACTCAATGGAGTCTACCACTCCTGAGACGGCAAACTCTTGATTGTACCTCTGTGGGGATGCGTAGAATGGTCTGCAGAACAGAAACTCAATAAACAACTGCTCAATTGAACTCCTCCTGTGGATGGAAAACTGGCTTTGAAGTTGTGCTTGTTCTCTGAAGACCCCTTCCAGACGGGTCCAGAATCCAGCCAGAACTCCCCAAAGGCTGAGAGTTGGACTATGCTGGAAATAGAGGCTCCATTCTCCAAAAGAGAAAAAAGTTCCACACCCCAGAAGCTAATGAGTTGGCCTGGGAGGAGCTTCTAAACAGTGGATGGAGATAACACAATGAATTATTGTCTTTCCAGTAGGCACAAGGCTAACATTCCAGTCGCTGCCACCCACTCCCCTATGATGTAAGAATACTCTCCAATGCTGGAGGGAAGGGCAAACAAGTTCCTCCTACAAAATAGCCTGTCGCCTCTAAAATCTGGAGCCTGTGTAAAAGAACAGGCTACATGAGAGCACTATACAGTGGGTCATGCATGTATCAGATCACAGTTCATTCAACAGACTGTCACTGAGCTCCCACTACATAGTATTCTGGAGTGGAGTGAAGTGAGAAATGATCAATACCACACAGTATTCAGTCTGACCTGGTAACCTTTCTGGAAATCCATCCTAAGGAAATAATCCAGAGAACTAGAAGCAAGATGCAGTGACATCAGCATTCGTGAAAAGCAGAAAAAGGAGAAAATGGCCAATAATTAGGGAAAAGGCCAAGTAAATTATGGAACGTCCATTCACAGGAATATATTGGGTTAGCCAAAGAGTTTGTTTGGTTTTATTCCATAAGATGGCTCTAGTAGTGCTTAGTTGTCTTTAATTTCATTTGAAAGAGTTTTATTAGATTGTATTGTGACAGCTGTCATATCACCATGCATTCAAAATAAAACTTATCAAAACTGGTGAACTTTTGCGTAGCCATTTTAATACTGAAGATGGAAGAAAATAAGCAACATTTTCAGCATATTATGCTTTATGATTTCAAGAGAGGTAAGAATGCAACTGAAATGCAAACAAAGATTTTTGAAGTATATGGAGAAAGTGTCAAAAGCGGTTTGCAAAGTTTCATGCTAGGCAAGGTCAGGTAGAACAGCTGAAGCTGATAGTGACCAAATCAAGATGTTAACTGAGAACAATCAATGTTCTACCACACGGGAGAAAGCCAACATATTCAAAATATCCAAATCGATCAAGTAATTGGTAAAAATGAAATACATATGTGTCTTTTACGGAAAAAACACATGGACTTTTTTGGCCTACATAGTAATACATACATTAACAATTATGATCAGAATAAACCACAGAAGGTTTATGATATAATGTTAAGTAAAAACAACTAAATGCAAAACTGAAGTGCTTGGTGACTACAACCACATGAAAACAAGGTTAGATGGATTATGAAAAAAAATTAAAAACACACTAAAAGCAGGGAATTCCAGATAAAGTTTTTTTTTTCTTTTTTAAAACAGCCTCTTTTTATTCTATTGTTTCTATGTAAAACCTTTTTTTAACCCCTCTCCTGGCATCTCCAACAGTGACATCTCTGATACAGGACCACAGGGCTCTGACATGCACAAAACTGTAAGAATAAGACTGGAATAATAAGCTGGATGACAATTTAGGGTAGCTCAGTAAATCTGCAATCAACCTGAGGATGAGGGAAGAGCTAAAGCTAAAGATGTCAGAATCAAGGCCCAAAATGTCTCCTGGAAAATGGAAAGTGGGGCTAAAATGAAAAAAGGATAGAATCGCACAAAACTGCTCTTTATTCAGTAACTTATGGGTGCCTTCTATGTGCCAGATGTTGTTTTAGGCCTGGAGATGCCATAGTGAACAAAACATAACAAACATCCCTGCCCTCATGAAGCTGGCATCTAGGGGGTGGAGAGCCAGACATTAAACAAACAAAAAAGTAAACTATAAATTTACTCAGACAGAGTAAGGAAGGGGGATCTGGAATGTATGGGCTGATGACCATTTTAAATAAAGTGGTCAGAGAAGTCCTCACTAAGGTGAGATTTGGGTCAAGATTTGAAGACTATAAGGCAGCTAACCATGCAGAGATTTCTAGAGAAAGTGTTCCAGACAGCACAGAGAACAAGCACAAGAGCCCTGAGGTAGGAAAGTGGCCCGCTCCAGGAAAAGCTAAGGAGCCAGTGTGGCCAAGTGCAGTGAGTTCCAGGTGGCCAAGTGAGCGGTAACCAGGATCAGGTTAGATTTCAGAAGGCCTGGCAGACTACAGTAATGCCTTTGGTGTTTAATAAAGATGATCGGGGAAGCCACCAGCAGGTTTTGATGTTTCAAAAGGCCGGCTCCGGCTGCTGTGCGGAGGAGGGACTGCAGGGGGCAAGCACAGCCTGCTTGAGCAAGGTGCCCAAGGCACACGATGCTCCCTCTGCAGGAAGCAATCTTCTCCCTCCCTCACTACCTGATCTAACTTCCTCCCAGCTCTGGACTCAGCTCATGAGCCTCCCTGGGAGGCCTTCTCTGACACCTATATTCTTCTAAGCATCTAGGGCACCCTGCCTTCATAGCACTTACCACAATGGGGTGTAAATACCTGTTTCATACCTGTCTGCCCCAGACCCAAAGCACCCTGGGAGCAGGGACGTAGACTTTATAGGCCTAGCTGCTGGCACAGTTTAGGCTCAATACTTAGGGAACAAATAAAAAGCATTTCTACAACTGTTTGACAAAAATCAACCTTTCTAAGTACAGGGCAGGGGACATGGCCTTACAGTACCCAGTGTAAATAAGAGCTAGGGTTTTTTTCCCATTTGACTACCACATTCTCTCCTAATAGTAGGTTTTAGTGGCTATGCTTATGGGATAGAGTAAAATTGCCATGATCTGAGGGGGGAGGGTCTATTTGTGCCCTCCCCCTGTATGAAATGGCCGAACAGAAAATTGGTGGGGGAAAAGAGAAAAAAAAAAAAAGAGCTAGGGTTTTAGGTGATCGTAAGTTTAATAAGAACCAGCCACTGAGATATGGTTGCTTAAAGGAAACACACTTACAGAGAAAGGAAGTACAAGGATACGATGACCTATTCGGTACCTGCTACAGGTCTGATACTGGGATGAATGTTTTCAGATACATCTGTCCTCTGACCCTTCCATGGCTAGTATGATCTCCATTTTACATGAAGAAACTGAGGTTCAGAATGAAGAGATTTGCCCTAGGGCACATAGGTCAAGAGGGGAACTGAATATACCTTTGACCACAACTGACAGGTCCCTCCCCTCAGGGAGCTCCTGTTCTGGTAGAAGGGATCTTTAAATAACACGTGACCAAGATTCCTGCAGGGGAGGGGAGCAGGGGAATTATAATTTGGCCAGTGTGGTCAGCAACACTTGAAGATGTAATCCGTTAAACCAAGAACTAAATGAGGGAAAAAAAGCACTCCAGGCAATGAAATAAAAGGAAAGGCAGTAAAGTGTGAACAAATTTGGCAGGTTCAAGGTACAGACATGACCGTATTGCCATGTTTTTTTGATTCTTTGCTAATCTGATAGGCAAAGACCAAATAATAGAAAGCCAACCTTTCTTCAATTTTTAAGAGTTATCAGTGAAGTTAAAATGGAATTTACTGACTGCATCTCTCTTCTTTTGAGTCTTATTTTTCTACAAATTTATTGATTTTCAAAAAATCTTGTATTGGGTTGGCCAAAAAGTCCGTATGTTTTTTTCCATAAAATACATTTTTCATTTCACAAACAAGTTGATTGATTTGGATATTGTGAGTATGTCGTCTATCTCCAGTGTGGTACTGTTCTCAATTAATGTCTTCAGTTGATTGTTAGCAACATCGATTGGTCTACCTGACCCTGGAGCATCATCCAGAGAGAAATCTCCAGCATGAAACTTCGCAAATCACTTCTGACAGGTTCGATGAGTCACAACACCTTCTCCATACACTTAAAAAACTTTTTTTCCATTTCAGTTGCTTTTAACTTACTTGAAATAATAAAGGATAATATGCCAAAAATGTTGCGCATTTCCTTCCATCTTCAATATTAAAATGGATATACAAAAATTCACCAATTTTGATAAGTTTTTTAAACGCATGGTGGTATGACAACCGTCACAATACAATCTAACAAAATTGTTTTGAATGAAGTTAAAGACAACTAAGTACTACTTGAGCCACCTTATGGAAAAACACACACACTGGTTTTTGGCCAACCCAGTATGTTAGAAATAATACTTTTGTCCATCATATAAATTATACTTCTCCCACTTTTTTCATTTAATATTTTGATTTTTTTCAGTAATCAGGAATTAAAAACTTTTTATGTAGTCAAAATTTTTTGTTCCTGTAAGACCAGGGAAGAGCTCTTCTACCTGACCCCAACCAGTAGGGTAGGGCTAAGGCCTGGGTGAGTAGGAGCCATGAAGTCTAGAGAGCTCTCCATGAAGCACAGGGCACCAGCTACCTGTCTGGGTTCAGGAGAAACTGCTTAAAACAAACTTCAAGATCAGTGCTAAAGGAGCCAAAAAAAAAACCCCAAAAAAGAAAGAAAACAAATGTTGCCCCAAAAATACAACCTGCAACAGGGACATTTGCAGAAGGAAAAGGACAGCTCCATTCAGGCATCCAAGTCATGCCAGCTCTGCCTGAAATTCAAAGTTTGTCTTCCCTTCAGTGCTAGCCACCTGGTACCAGAAATGACCGATTAGATGTGCAGCCCTCCAGGGTCAGCTCACAGAGAGAGCCCAATTGGTAGCCTCAGTATTCTGGGTATGTAGTACTGTCAACATGGATGTCTGCCACTGGGAAGGACAAAGCTCTGGGGTTATCAGTTTCCAGGGTGCATGTTGCTGACAGATGGAAAAATAAATAGCAATAAAACGCCAGGATTATTTACTGGTTCAGCATAGGAGAAATTAACCATCTGAAGCAAATGATTCACAATGGAACTGTGGCCAATTTGACTACTAACCATAAAAATTTGAATTTTTATAAAAAAAGACTCAAAAGGATAGACAAACATTTCCATCAAACAGAAGAGACAGAAGAGTGATTCTAAAACATCACACAAAATGATTAAGAAAAACAGCAAGTCTCTAAAAGTGGGCAAAAAGAATACTAGTAGAAAATACAACGAATAGAAGTTGAAAACACATAGAAAAATGTTCATTGTTCCCTGTAAACAAATGAAAAATTATAGCAATACGGAGGTAATTCTTTTCATGTTGACTATGTTACAGCAAAACTGGTACAAAGGCAGTATGACTTTTTGGGATAGCTATAGGATAACACTATTGCAAGAACCGAAAAGTATTGGTCCTTTTGCCTCAAAAATTCTTTTCTTGAGACTTTTGCCTAAAGGAATAATCTGATAAACTTTATTTTTATATTTTTTATAAACTTTTTTTAAAAAAGAAAAATAAACTACACAGAAGCATTCATTATAGCAGTGTCTCTACTAATGAAGAACTAGAAGCAACACAAGTGTATACCAGCGGAATGTTTTGGCAAATTATGGTACAGCTATTTCACTGATTATTACACAGCACAAAATATTCATCACAAAGATGATGCAGCAACAAGGTTAAAACAAACAAAAAAGAAAAAGCTATCATATACATCTTGAGAAATACACATACGTGAACACAGAGAAGGGACAAGGTACAGAAATGAAAACAGTTGTGTGGTGGAGTAAAACCAGATAAGAAATATGGATGATCATTATTCCAAAGGGCAACTTGGCAGTTTCTACCAAAATGTAGAATATGTATGCCAGAAATACCACTTCGAGGAATCTATCCTACAGAAACAGTAATCACTAGCATAAGTGGGGCGGGGGGAAGACGAGAACAGTTACTGCAGCATTGTCTGAAGTGAAAAACTGTAAACCACTTAAAAGTGTATACTGCAATACTATACAGTCCTTAGAATAAAGTGGATCTGTTGTACTGACATGGAAAAATATTTGGTATTTTTAAATGAACTAAGGAAGTTGCAGAATGAGATGTCTATACATAGCCTAAAGTAAACTTAGTATCTATAAACAGGTGCATTCCAGTTTCATGCAGTGAACAGCTTACATGTAAGTGTGCTTATGCACTAAACCAATATGGAAGGAAACACCCAACTGCCACCAGCTGTTACCATAGGGGAATGAGATGGGACTACCTGCACTTCCTACATTGTATACTTTGGTACGCTTGAATTTTCTAAGTATGTTTTGCTTTTATGGCTTTAAACTCAACAGCATGGTAAAGGTTGCAGTGAACTACAATTTGTGTAAGAGAAAAAAGAGACACATTGCTTAAATAAGGCATACAAGAAACGTTTCAGAATAGACTGAGACTGGGGGTCAGGGTTCGCTGGGTGATTTATTTTTCACTTAGATCCTTTCAGATTATTTTTTACTGTATACCAGTATTATGTGTTAAAACTATTTTTTACAGTTTATAATGTGAAATAAAAAGTGGTGTGAAAAACGAAGTTACATGTTTAAAGCATTATCACATATTTTTAGCGACGTGAAGACATTCTTTGTAGTGTAATAAATGAAAACTCAAGAGTCCACAACTGCACATTCGGTAGGAGCTAAATTAAACCCTACACAGCAAAAACTGAACAGGAAAATCACCAGAATATGCCTAATTTTACTAGGTTGCCTCTAGGTTATGGCACTGTTTCTTTTTCCTTTTCAATTTTTCTTATAGGCTTTAAATTTTTAAGATTTCTGAAAAGTAACCCACTCATATGGTTAAACAGTTAAAAGGTCTTTTCAAGTTATTTTTTACAGGTTGGGAGGATTAAAAACATGAAGAAACAAACCTGTAAAGGGGTAAGGAGCCCACAGTTCCAGCCAGCAAAGCAGGGATCCCCCAGGGTGGACCCGCCCTTTTCTGATTCATGCACCAAGTCCCAGCGGCATGAAAGAACCACAAGGACAGAAAGGCAGGAGTCAGTTCCTAGGGTTCCAATCCACTTCCGCCATTTCCTGGGACAAAGCATTAGGTTTCCCCGGCTTTTGATTTCAAGTGTGTAAAAACGGGTACAATGCCGTCCCTATCTCAGAGATGTGATGAGGTGGAAAACCAAACTACATACAGCGCTTATTAGTGCCTGAAACAAATTAAGCTTCCAGGAGCTTTTATCGCTGCTGTTGTAATCGCGCAAAAGGCCCAGGACAGTAGCATGCACGGGCCGCTGAGCCAGCCTCCGCATCCCCATCAGACCCTAGCCAAGGCCTGAGCTCCTACTTCCGGTCAAGCGGCAAGCGGGATGCCCTCGCCCTGCTTGCGTCCCCTCCGCTGGGGTCTGAAGGCCCATGCCGCTCGTGTTCCGCCCTCCGTCAGCTCGGGCCCAAACCAGCCCGCCTCACTCGGGCACCCTCGGAGGATGGAAGGCCAGAGGCACTGTGTGGGGCCGCCTTGCTCGGACACGTTCCAACCGCCAGCTACGAGTTCCAAACACTCACCATAGCGGACCGATCGGGTGGCTCGGGTCTTCACAGCACAGCCCAGTCCGGATGCGTTTCCGCGCCTGCTCAAAATATTATGTCAAAACAGACACTTTCAGTAGCCAATCAGGAGCCAGTGTGAGGCGCACGGGTAGGCGGACCTTAATCCCCCAGGGCTCGTGGGATATTTGCCCTACGCCGCCCGAAAGTGAGAAGCAAGGGAGCACTTTAATTATGGAAAAGTCCCAACTCTCGCTGTGCCGAAAAGGTGCTGGTTCGCGGTGTCGGAAGAGGCAGGCTTTCAAATCTCAGCGGAGGCCAGAGCTGGCTCTGAAAGCCCTGGGTGGAGGGTGGTGGGCAAACACGAAGGCGAGGAGTGGGGGTTGCTGAGACGCCCCCACCGCCTTGGCGTGCAGATTGAGGCAAAATGAGGCACGGAGCCACAATGCGCCAAAGCTGTGGGAAGTCCGCAATTGGGTCTGTCTGGACTCAAGCATCTTTGGGGTCTCAGAGCGACCCCGTTGGGAATATGCAGGCTCTGAGATGAGGCTAGCCCTGAAGGGCTAGCTTGGGAGTCTGCAGACGTAGGACTGAGTTCAGCCCCGCTGAAGAAGCCACTTCACATCTCTGCACGCCCTCCTTTTCTCACCTTTAAAAGGGGGACCCTTCTTTCTAAAGCTCCGTGTTATCTTCTCCCGCCGTCTTTAGCCTACTACTCCAGCAGACCACAAAAATTTCTGGGTTTTTCTAGCGGAATGTTAAAACAAACTGCCATTTAGTGAACCTTGTTCCTCATTGCTGTCCTGAACACTTATGCGTGCTATGTCAAGCAGCCTCAGCATCTTTTTACAAATGCTGTTTCTTCGAGGCACTGGAGGTTGCTGTATTCAGCACACGACTTAACTCCAATTTTTCACTCCACCCTAGCTTCTTGTAACTGGGGAAGGAGTTGGTGCTCCTTCCAGAGGTGTCTTGTACTATAGTGACTTCACAGTGAGGCCATCTGGCAGACACTGTCGTAACTGTAGGATCAAAGATAACATTACTGGTAATGGGATATATTGATGTGTGTCCCCTACATCATGCACTAAGGGCACATCCACCTCTGTGGTATTTTTCACAAAAATCCATGACCTTATTTCGAGAAAACATTAAACCAAATTTGAGGGACACTTTACAAAGTATTTAACTAGTACTCTTCAGAAAAAGCCAAGGTCATGAAAGGATGATGAACTGCCACAGACTGGAGGAGACTGAAAAAATGTCATTCGTAGAAAAATCGGTGAAATCTGATTAAGGTAGTTAGTGTTACTTTACCTATGTCAAGTTAATAGTTTTGATAACTTGTGGGAGGGACTTTTCAGGTCCCTGTACATCCCTGTTCGGGCACCAGCTGAGGAAGGGATGCCAGACGCTTGATCTGAGGGTCCCTGTCTGGGGTCAGCTGAGGTGGGAGCGTGGACTCTGAATCCCGCAGAGCTCGTCGCAGGGTCGTCACAGATAGGGGGAATATAATAGATCACTCCAGACCCTTCTCTGTCTGCCAGGAGAGGGGTATGGCACTTCCCTCTAGTGGAGAAGGCCCTGAGCCCGTGTCCAAAGGCTTTTATTGAAAGGGTTATCAATGGAGGATAGGTAGGAATATACAGGTGATCTTATTACATCAATTATGTTAATGTTTACATAGAATAGGTGATGTTTTGAAGAAAACAAATGGCAGGAACACACCGATTTACATGGGTCCGAGAGGAGACAAGTAAACATGAGAGTGTAAACATAAAGGGCGCCAAAGGGTTTAGGATCAGGGTCTGTGAATAATGTCAATTTCCTTCCCAGCATGAGTTGGTTATCATACCTTTTGAGGGAAAAACAAAGCATGCTTTTAAGAATTTACTCCTAGGCCTGATTTCCCCTGGCAACTGCCTGATCCAGTTTAAGGCTGTCCCCAGTATTGTTTCAAACCTGAGCCAGGTCGAGGGAGGGCAGGCAGCCAGGAAATAAAGAGACTGCTTTCAGATAGAATGAGGACCTCGGCCATATCAAACCTGAGAGTTGAGGGTCTTTCTGCCCTTTCTGTGTCCCCCAAGCTTTCCCTGATGCCCATTGTGGCTGTGCCCGTCTTAGGTTGCCCCTTCCATCGAGGGGTCTTACCCATCACTGACTAATCAAATATCCTCCAGAGCCAAGCAGGGTGATGTGAGGGAGGCAGGGGCTGTGCCCCCGCCAGGGACACAGGCTTTGTCTCCTCAGTGGCCTGTTTTCCCAAGGCCTCCGTGATTAGCTCCAGCCTTGGGGCCCTCTTGCCTGTCAGCGGGGCTATAGTTCCTGAAACCAGATGGGGCATTTCCCAACAATTACTGTACCAAGTTATATAGGATGTTAACACTGGGGAAAGTTGGGTGAAGGGTGTGCAGGATCTCTTTGTACTCTTTGCAACAGTTCTGTCTCTGTAAGGGCTGCAGAGACTGGATTTCCAAACATCCTGGAAAGTAAGTACACAAGGGCTCATCATCCTCACATATAAAGAACCAGGCTGAGAGGGGTGAAGGGATTTAACAAGATCACAATCACAGAAGCAAAACAGACTGGCCAGTAGTTCATGTGACTGGAGCCATAATGAGGGGGAAGGAGGAGATAACTGTTAGCTTAGAATCACAGGCTTCTGAGTTCTGGAGTTTATTCTGTGCTGACGGGGGAATCATTGTAAGCATTTAAGCAGGGAAGAAGTATGAGACTAAGGTCTTCCACAGATCATTCTGAGACTGCACAGGTAGACCGAGGGGAGAGAACGAAAGCAATGCCAAGAGGGTGTTACAGTCAACCAGAGTACGGATGAAGATGTGGGCTGTGACAATGGGAGCGGCTCTGGGAAGTGATTCAAAAGGACTTCTGAAGATGGATTTGACAGGATTTGGAAAACAATTAGATCGAACAGCTGAATCAACTATGGAAGACTCCAAGGGCTGCAGTTTGTGAGTAGCAGTACAACAAAATGTTTAAGCATGCAGGCTTTGGAGTCACTCCTGACTCGTTTGCCCTCTCACCACTTAATAGCTCTGGACATTTCAAGCTAATCACTTTGAGCATTATTTTTTAACCTGTAAAATACAGATAATTATCCCTCTCTGAGAACTGCCAGGAAGATTAAAAGATTGCATGCAGCGTATCTATGTTGGGATGTAGTAATAAATGTTGACAGCTGTCCTGAGACAAGTGAACATAGGCATGGTATTTACTGGTTGCTGGCGCCTCACAAAGAGACCAGCAATGTCTGAGGTCTCCACTGAAGAGCCGCCTCTCCTTGCCAACCAGGATGTTTCCTCTGGATCCTCCCCACAAATGTCCTGACACAAAGAAGCCCTGTAGACACACAGGAATTGACAACTGAAATGGATTAAGACAGCTTTCTGTTCTGGAGTTATATGATGGGAGACACTCTTCCTAGAAGTTCAGATAACAGCAGCACGTCAGCAACGGCTCAGTCCAGGTCCCAGTTTGGGGCTGGAGAGTCAAATGGTCAGTAAGATTTCCCTATGGAAGATTTTCTCATGCTGTGGGGAACACCTCTTCCCCTCTTTTCCTAGCTAAACTGAAGCTAGAGTTTTCTAGATGCTTTTATGGGACAGATTAGAGAGAGGGTGTACTACTTTTCAGCACTGGTGATGAACCTGCAGTTTCTGTCCTCCAGTCACTGTTAGATTATGTATTAAGAAATCCTACTTCCCTTAGCCTCTCTCCACTGATTCTGTTTTAAATGAGAGCTTCATCACCTTGTTTTCCAGTAAGAAAAAGGTCTATTGAAGCTAGTGAGCAGGAAAGCTTATTAAGAGCAGTAAATCTTGGTAGCTAGCTGGTGGTTCTCTACTCAGCATCCGTGGCTAAGGTCCTGACTTAGAGCACCTGTAGCTGTCTCAAGAGAAGCAGATGCCTTCATCTTGGTTCTCTTTATGATAGACACCAAATCTCACCTTGGTGGATCTTTCCAGTTTGTTGCTTTTTCCTATCCCTTCCACAATACAGACAGGCTGTAACCCGGCCACTTACAAAAGCAGTCAGAAATCTGTAAGATCTGGTCTTTTCTACAGATGGGGAAAACCTTAAAAGACTAACAGAAAAATGTGCAGATGAAAGAGCAAAGAACTTTAATTACAAACAGTCTTACATCTTTTAAGGAAATGCAAGTGAGGCAGCCCCGAAAGGACCTTTATAAGAGCACTTGACTCCCTGTGATATCTGTAGTTACCTGAGTATTTGAAATTACAGTTCAAGGAGGGAAAAAAAAAAAAGGAATGCAAATACAGTAATATACAATCCAGTGTCCAGTGCTGCTATTCCCTGTTTTTAGTTAATGAAAGCGTAGCATATATACAAATAATTCTGTAAATAACTCTAAAAGAGAAACAAACAAAAAAAAAAAACAAAAAAAAAGAGGGGGCTGGAGATACCAACTATTAAATAGAAATAGTTAATCTTAAGGAGTTTAATAGGATGGGAGTTGCATCCAAACCGAGGAGGGATATAAATATAGAGAAGTCTAATTCTATGAGTCATCCCTGATAACATTTCAGATTATTAACCAGATAAAGAAAAAAACGGCAGAGTGGGAATGACTGAAATAGCTCATTTAGCATGAGCTTTTTGTGGGCAGGTGAATCATGTTTCACTTAAATTTCTGATTGATTGACATTGGTATGTCAATCTTTTGGTGGAAAATTAGTACCTCAATCTTAAATAGAGTTATTGTAAGTCTTACAAAATTAGATTCTTCTGCACCATATAAGATCATAAAAGACAAGATTAGGAATTCATTATTATGAGCAGCTGGATCAGTTTTAAACCACTCTATCCAATGAAACAAGTGAGGTCCTTACCCACTGACCCAGGCTGTGAAATGCTGCTTTCCCCAACCCCCAAAAGAGCAAAAGAATAAGGCAATTGCTCATTTTACTTTGTTTTTATTTCAACATAACATGCAGTTTAAAAAAAATTAACAGAATTTATTAGCATTTACAATGCTTACAAAGAAAAAGGACTCTAAAAGCAATTTAGTTCATATTTAAGAAATCGCTCTAATTAAACACTTACAATAAATCTATTTCCAAATGTTCAGTTTGGACCAAAATTTA